CAGGGAGGCTAAGTCCTAAAATAGTGAGTTTTTCTGTGCTGTCAGAAATAGTTTGAAACAGCTGGCGAACGAGATGCACACTGTGTAAGATATATTTCCACCGGAAACTATTTGTCACTTCACATATTTCTGCCCAAATCCCAACTCATTGCCACACAGATTTATTGCTACTATAGACGAATCTCTATGAGTTCTTTGAAATGTACTCTCCCTGTATCTGTCTGCTTTCTAGAGTCAGGCTAGAAAGTATTTGTATCTGAACTGGCAGGAGAAACAACACTATCAGCAGGAAAGAGTCCCTACTTAAAAAAAAAAAAAAAAAATTAAGTGTGCTGGTCTTTCTGTGGTTGGTGCTACTCACTTTGTTTACAAGGCACTGTGGCACATTTTTCCATGACAGACACTTGTGTTTACTCATCAAAACGCAACTCTGGTGGTTCAAACCCTGTACGTTATTTCACGTGATATTTAGCTCTGTGACCACAGAACTGCCCATCAGGCAGGTGAGTGACAGGATGTTTTTGGGCTGATGCAGGACAAAGAGTAGATGAAGATCTGTGTTTGCGCTAGGAACGGAGGCTGGCACCTGACAGCTGAAGGCACGAACTGCAGCCCCACTGGGGGCTCACGGACACCGCCGCATCTCGACGCTGCCACATGCTGAAGCAAGTGCAGCGCTCCTGGTGCTCATCTAAAACACTCTCAGGCGAACGGGATCACTACGCTTTTCCCAAGTGGCATGCACCTGTTTCTGAAATTCCATCTCTCCCAAACCCCTATCTTGCTGACCACTATCCCTGCTGCCAAAGCTAACAGGGGTGTCCCTTCTCAGCCGTGCCACTTCCCTTTCTTCTAGCAGCCAAAGTTATCTTGATCACTTCGCCGCTCTTCCCCAAGCTTTCCACAGCACCTGCTCGGGACCCCATCGGGTGATCCAGCTCAGTTCTCACCAGCCACTCTTCTACCACAGCTTTCCTCCTCAGCAGCTGATTTCTGGCAGCACCCCAGAGCCAGGGCTGCGTCCTGCCTGTGCCCTCGCCCTTGGAATGTGTAGCTGGCTCCAGGCACCTCCTCACCCTTGCTGGCTTGTGCCAGGCATTTTCCTCCCCAGTCTGGAATATCCTGACTACCCCATTTAGAAAGGCACTCCATGCTTGGTGCAGCTCTGTGCTTCATTCTGTGACTCCATATTATGGTCTTTCTCTATTCCTCCAACATGACCACCTGCTCAAAAACAGGCTGTCACCACAGCCACTGGTTCTCCATGAGGTGCTCTTGGAGAACACAACTCCATTCCTGGGCCACACTGGCTATGCCTAAGGTCCTAGTGGAGGGCACAGACTGGTGCCCACTGTTCTCAAGCCCTGTGGGCACTGCCAAGGGCAGAGCCAAGTCCACCCTCATGCAGTGCTGACCCTCGCTGTGGGCTTCACATGCTTTGAAATGAGGACACAGGTGAGTCGAGTGGGACAGCAGAGAGCCTAGGTCTGCATCGGCCTCCAGACAGCCTCCATAACCTTTCTCCTGTGCCCTTCTTGAAGCTAGCCAAATGAGAAGGTGCCTCAGTGCTGGGCCAGTCTCCAGCCCCATGCCCACTCTGACTTTGCTGAATATGAAGGCAAGGTCAAGCTTCCCAGCTCACAGCTGACACAGGTCTCCAGCACTTCTGATCTTCGGGACGTATGTGAACAATGGACAGGGCAGATGCAAATCTCACGTGACACCTGGACTTTCCCATTACTTACCCACAGCTGTGAATATTTTCCCGAACACCCAGCTCAGCCTCCTCTGCTGCTGGCTGCTGGGTCTGGAGGGATGAAAGCCTGTGCTGCCTCACTGGTGTGACCTGTAGTGGTGCCTGGCAGTCGGCTCTGACCCAGAGGAGAATGCCCTCACAGGTCCTGGCAGCAGCACGGTGCCAGTATTTTCTTGCTGACTTCACACCTACCCCTGCTGCTTTTTTCTTTTAAGCTTCTGAGATAAGGGCTCTACGCAGTTCAGGCTAGCCATGAAAGTAGGCCCACTCTCCTGCTTCAGCCTCCTGGGTGCTGAGATTCCAGGCCTGCTCCACCATGCCCAGCCTACATACTTGCTGTTATGTCATTCACCTTTCCCATTTTTCTTTGGAGCCCAGAATAGCTTGGCATGGAGAAATGCCGCTATTGTCTAGGACTGAGCAGGTCATTACCATAGTTAACTTGTCATACTTCACTTATCCAAAGTGGCAACCCAAGAATTTCATTGTGCTGCTTACACAAGACTTTGCAGCCCACTGCTTCTAGTCAACAACAGCTCTTCCAGCAGGCCGAGTGAGGGTGACTGCCCAAGCAGAAAGCCACTGTCCAATCGTGCAGTCACTGGTTCTCCAGTGAGAATATTCCAGCACCTGATGAGAATATTCTCATCACCAGCAGAGGCCGGAGTCTGGCTCAGGTGTTCATACCGAATGGAAGGGTTATAGTTTCGTTCTTAACTTCCAACTACTTTTAAGCAAGTTAAAGTATGTAGGTATCAGATACTGCAGATAAAAATAAATATTGACATCTTACTGAATTCTATTCTGCCTCCTTAGATTTACATCAGTGGTACCGACTTTTCAGCTCTGCTTAAAGTGTCTGCATCAGCCTCAAGCCACCTTGCTATGTTTCGGTAATCTTCACATACACATTTGCAAACATACAAAAATAAAACACATTACTACACAAGGAAACTCTGTAAACTACATAATATTGAACTCTCAGAGTAATTCTACACTGAGAGTGCTCCAAAAGCAGCTCAGGAACTGCACTGCTGGAGAAGAGGCTGCCCCACAGGCCAGGCCGCGCTTTGGAGGGCAGCCCCTGCCCAGTCAGCAGGCGTCGATTACCTTCAGAGCTGCTCGGCTTGCGAGGAGCAGGCTGACGAGTAAACACACTCCCACCCCAGCAGCCGCAGCCAGGCATTAGCAGCTATGGGGCTGATTATGCCCCAGCCGTTGCCGAGAAATGGAAATGGGCTGCAGGGTTTTATCACTAGAGTCTGCAAAAAGCCAGTCCCTTGTTTGGCTACCCAAGTCCTCCTAAGTGACATTATTAGGCAACTCTTCTGTTTAAATGACAGGAGGATTTAGTGTATCAGCAGCTTACCCCAAACACGCCCTTGCAATCTGAAAGTACCTCGTGTTTACAATGAGCGTGGTAACAGAAGGCCAGATGGCTGCGACTTTCAGCTGTGGTAAATGACACTCCAGCAGAAAAACAGCAGTAGGGTACGCAGGGTTCTGAGCCGCACACTCTGTACGCAGTGTGCATTAAGGAACTATTAGCTTTACCTATATAAAGTGACTGTTTGCTAATGCTGTCTAATTAGTGAGATTGCTGTTAGGGCTGTCAGTTTTATGAAACCCTTTTCTACTAATGCAGCTTGGAGCAGCTGCACTGCTGACACACCACTGCATCTCCAGCTCTCGCTTCACAGCCCTGCATCGCCAGTGCCTCAGTCAATGGACAACTGTCTCCGTTTCTCTCTCCCACTAATAATGATATTAATATACTCCGTAATTCCCAAAGGAAAAGGTGAGAACTGCGGCATTTCTCCGTTCACCTGCTATCACCACGCCAGTAACAGACTCTCGTCTGGTGAGCGCTTCACACTGGTACCCGCAGCAGTGGGACGCGCTACTGGGGCAGCCGCGGGCCTGCGCCAGGAGCCCGCTTGCGTGCGTTTATTTATTTACTTCAGGCGTGTACCGCTACATCTGGCCAGGAGCCTTCTGTTACAGCCAGGTGTAGCGGCGCACAGCTGTCTCCCCAGCATTTGCGATCCCAAGGCAGGACGATGGCAAGTCTCGGCCGCCTGGAAGCCTTAGACTGTCTCAGAACAGGAATCAAAAAAAAGCACAAGCAAACATATTTTAGAGCAGGGGTCAACAACTTTTCGCTGTACAGGGACGGACAGTCAGCAGGCCTTGCACAGCCATACCACTGCCAGTATAGTGACCACACACAAATGAACAAGCACCACCACGTTCCAGTAAGCCTGGAACCACACGCAAGGCTGCAGCAAGGTCGGCTGCATGAGGCTCCACAGGCCACCTTGAGGCCTCCTGCTTTCATGCTGACTGAGGAGGAAGGCCACAGGGAGAGCGAGGCAGGATTGGTGCTAAAGCGCAGCAGCACCAGGAAGGGCCCCTCAGGGAGGGCAGCTGACGGGGTGGGAGCATGGAGAAGAGCAGGGGGTGCTGGGCGGCGGCAGCCCACGGGACGCCCTTGAATCCCAGTGTGCCCAGGTGCAGCCGGGCACGCTCAAGGGCTTTGTGGAGACAGAGAAGGGAGGTCAGCAAGGGCAGCACCAAGCCTTCTGGGTTGAACAGCCAAAGAGCAGACAGGCCTTGACTAGGGCGGGAAAGGACAAGGGAGCAGCCTGGCAAGAGGAAAACAGGGACTTTCTTTTGGACATATAAACTCTGAGATGTGTCATCCATCTCAGCGGAGCTATTAAAAAGTGGTGAGTGGGCCAGCCAAACAGCTCAGTGGATTATGCAGGGTGGGGACTTGACCTGGGCCTGTCGTGCTGGCCCCGCCCCCAGGGCACTCTGAGACAGTGACCAAGACTGGGCGTGATGGTGCGCTCCTCTAATCCCAGCTCTTGGAGGCTGTAAACAGGCGAATCGCTAAGAGTCCGATCTAGTAGTGAGACCCTGAACACCCTGCCCTAAAATACAGAAAAAATTACAGACATATTTATATAGGAACTAAAATACACATAATGTAATGGCCAAACTGTTCTTGATGTACTTAAATTATTCTGAATGCAGCATTTTTCCTTTTTCTGGGGGTTGGGGGGCAGACATTGAACTCAGGACCTCGTGCCTGTCAGGCAGGTGCTGTGCTGCTGAGCTATATCCCTGGCCCAACATTTTTCTTACATTCAAAAGAAAAGTTATTCTGCTTTCTTGATGTATTCAGGCAATGTCAATCAACTATGATAGCAATGAACAACATAATGGAAACATTACTTACATAACTACGGCTTTTAAAGAAATCTGACGGGCTAGTGGTGAGGATTTTGTCTCCTTCCAAACCAATTACTCTTTTACAGATATTTGATTTTGGATCACTCGGGCTTTTTGCAATCACAATGTCACCTCTGAGGGGAAAAGTCAAAGAAAGACCAGTATTATTTATGGAGCACAAACACATGCACGGCACTAGCTGCATCATTCTGTAAGCAACAGAGAAGGCCTCCTCCTCTTCCTGCTCTGACCCTCTGCCATCTAGCAGCTTTAGGAACTCTGCGACTGTTCGGGTCAGAGAGTGATGGCGAAGCCAGCTACACTCTTCCAGTGTTAGAAGAGGCTAAATTTGCCTTTACCATATCCACAGTAGGCTACTCCTATAACCACTTTTAGAAACAAAATGATGGAGATCCAAATCCATGTAAGTGTTACCAAGTTAAATACAGTTTACTGCCCAGCACTGAGAGCTAAAGGAACGGAGCATGGAAGTCACATCGTTCATATATGTGCTTGACAGGATAGCCAAAAGGACTTACAGTTGAGGGAAACATTGATTTATTTAGGTTCTTTGTTTTTCGAGGCAGGATCTCACTATGAGGTGCTGACTGGTCTTGAACTCAGTATGTAGCCCAGGCTGGCCTTGCACTAATGGTGACCTTATGTCTCAGCCTCCCAAGTGCTGGGATCACAGTTGTGAGCCACCAGGGCTAGCCTGAGGGAAAATTTCAGAAAAACCAAATAAAGTAAGAGCTGAGCAAATGCTGTTAAAAATAAAATGACCTCCAACACATAAAACCATGACAAGTCTAAGTACACAGGGAAAGCAAATGTCATTCTACACAGTAATAGGACAGAAAAGATCTTGCCAAGTAGAAAGAAAAGGAGACCAAGAACGCAAATGGCCCAAGCCACAGGGGACAGTGTGCCTTCTGCAAAAAGCAAGCAGCATATGAACTGCTAACTGCCACACAAATTTAAGGGAACTGAAGCTGCATGTGGTGGGGCACACCTATAACCTCAGTACATTAGGAGGCTGAGGCAGAAGGGTCCCAAGGTCTAGCCTGGCCTGTGTAAGTGGGCAGGACCATCCTCACAAAGGACAGTGTGTGGGGAGGAAGCTCGATGTGAAGGCCGTGGGTTCAAACCCCAGAATCACAAAAAAAGAAGAAAATTAATATATTTATAACTTGTACCTAGTTCGAGATAATGCGATGTCATTTATAATAGAAGATATATATGTCAAAATAATATCAAAACTTGTAACAATAAAAGGAAGATGACAATCAAATGAAAAATTTAATTACTGCTATTTTCCAAGTATTACAAAGAATGCTAAATTTTTTGGTAGCCAAGTCAAAAGAAATTAAGATTATGACACAGTAATCATTAATTAATAAACCTCAGTGGGATGTAAGGCAAGCTTTTACAAGAAGAATTCTTATCTACGGGAGTGAAGGAAACTGTTCCTCAGAAGTGCAGGGAAACCTCAGAAACCGTATTCACGGCAATCGGGTCTTGACATTGTTCTGGGAGGAGCAGGCTGGTACATAGCATTACATTCTGTAATTTGGTGGCAAAATAACACTGCTTTTTTTGAAGGCACGGTAAACTCTTCTCCTCCCAACTGTGCCAGTGGAACTGATCAGATGAACACATTTGCAAAAATTTGAACACACTGTCCAAGCTGATTTGGTGTAGCATTGCAAGAAGAAACTTTCCACTAGTGATTTATGAAGATTAAGTGCGTAATCCATAATCAATATGATCCCTAAGGTGTGCGCTGTAAAAACAACACAAATCCAGGCAAACTGTCTTTGCAGAAAGCAGTACAAATACAGACTGCAATACTGGTAGTGTACCCAGAAAAATACATAAAGATCAGATCAGTATGTCTTGCTTGGACTCAACTTTCAAAAATAGTTTTAACGGAACTTAATAGACCTATTACTTAAAATCTCCTTTTGCCTTTCCTTATCCTACCAGATGCCATGCTTCAAAAAAGAAAACAGCAGTATCTCACTCCTCTTATGCTTTATGAGGCTTTCTCTAGGATTGTCCTGAAATGCCCCTCAGCTGTTGGTGCGTCCTTGAAAGGACGAGCAGACTAGAGGTGCGGCTCTCCCATGGATGAGTGCTCTGTGCAGCAGAAGGGACAGAGTCGTGCGCTCCAGACACCACGTGCCGACTGCTACTACTCAGTGGATGGCTCTTCTATCTTTATGAACAGGCAGCCAGCATAGAACGTCACCAAGGGCCAGGAATTCCCCTGAAATCTCAGCTTTCTGTGCTACAGATAAGAGAACAAGAGCAGTAAGATTTTAAAAGTAGAAGTTACCAAGTGGCAACCTTAGTGCACAGTTACTGAGTCGTGTCTAGTAGGATGCAGACTGCGAGCTCTTCCTCAATCAGATGGGCTCCAGGACAGAAGTTTAAAAACAAAACCTTCAACATCTGTTTATTGTAAAAATAAGCTGAGCTATTCACTGAGCTACTCATTCAAGAACTCTTCAGCCTGATGGGTGCTTTGAGACTGCAGGATCCTTCTAACAGCTCATCTTCATGTGACAGCATAAGGGTCACAGGCTGTGTAAGGGTCTTTTGACAAAGTCAAAAAGAAAGCAGAAGTAGAAGACAGTTGTTTCACCATTTTTAATTTACAATCCCTGTATCTACAGTCAGGTTTCTTGAAATAGATCTGGGCAGCTTCACAGGGGACATGTTAGGACACAGTGTAGGGGCTTCCATCGGCAGGATCAAGGCTAACGGCAGTAGACAGGAGCAGTGGCTTTATGTTATTCTTGATGATTTTTCCGTAAGAAAGTGGGCTAGAGCCAAGATAGTGAGAGAGCTGCTTGGCCCTACTAAGTGCAACATAATTAAATACAGCTGGACACAGCTGTGTTCATGTTGAAGATGAAGGCTAGTACAGATTAATTATACATGAACTCAAAACTTGTAGAGTTAGAATCGACTCTTATGTAATCCCTTACTCTAACACTCATTACCCGGTTATCATAGGTTCCATAGTAAAAATTAAAATCCTCAGCAGCTGAAGTACAGGGTAATTTCAAAAGCCATCCAGAATAGTTAGTTGATCATCAGTGCAACTCTCAAGCCCTAGGTGTTGACTCACAGCACTCCAGCACCCAGTGACGCTGTAAACTCTGTTTAGCTGTGAAAAGGAGAGCTGGCAGTGTGGGGCAGCGTGCAGGATGGTGGCCTGAGAGGCCGCGTGTGCTCGGGCAAGCTCTAAAATCCTCTGACCTGCTCTTTAACTCAAAATGTTATCTAGTTGGTGATTAATTTGATGATCTACAAAAGTGTTTTTAAAGGTAAAGTGAAGATACTAGAGAAAAGCGCAACCCATACGTGCATTTTCTCTGTAGCTTGACTAGTCCCATGATAGAAATTACCTCTGGATGCTGTGAAAGTGTCGGCTGAGGTTTTCTGCAAAGACGACGTCTGAATTTCGAATGGTAGGCTCCATGGATGGTCCAGAACACTGAAAGAGAGGCAGTCTTGTCACTTGAGCTCTAATCCTCGTTAGTTTAACAGAAGTCATTTCAGTGGCTTGTCAGAAAAATAAGCTGATGTTCTTCCAGGTTGGGGCATGACTCCTAACTTGGCAGTTCTTGTAGAATAGTACCATGCTGGAGGCACAAGCTCAAGTGGTTTACTGAAATGACACTTTGGTATTTGCACAAGGTAAATTTGTTTCCAAATCATGGCTGGGCTGTGGAAGGGAAGCTCTGCGACCTGCGACCTGCGTCTCACTTTCCCAGCTCTAAACTGAAGGCGGAGAGAGATCAGCACTTGCAGAGAACTGGAACTCAGCACTTCTCCTTAAATGCAGGATGACTGTTCCTTCCACTGCCAAACACCACCGATACCGCCCTCTTCTCACTGCACTGCAACCTGCCCTCCTCTTCTAGGAAGTGGCTTCCTCCTCTGATGGGGCTGTAACCTTTTTTTTTGAGAGAGGGCCTTATTGTGCAGTTCAGGCTGGCCTTGAATTCTCTTTGTAGCCCCGGCTGGCCTGGAACGCACAGTGATTCTCCGCCTCGGCCTCCCGAGTGCTGGGGTTACAAGGTGTGCACCATGCCCAGTGGGCTGCAACTCGGACTTAAAAGTTCGCTACTGAAAATTATTGGCATAAGGTAAGATGCACTTTAAAGACATTGATATTTGTGTCTCAAGACTATAATCTTGATATACACTCAAAAATGGAATAAACAGTGCCACTTAGAACTACACACACACTCCAGGCTCTTGCTACCCTACTTATCTGTAAATAAAACTTTACTCGAAACTTTCCACTCAGGCAAAAGTAACCGAGTACTGCGAAAGTCTGTGACTTCTTTTTTTTTTTTTTAGCGGAACCAGGGATTGAACTCAGGCGCTTGAGCTTGCCAGGGAAGCGATTATTCTACTGAGCCATCTCCCTGGCAAAGTTTGTGACTTTTAAAAGTGCCAATGGAACTTTCAAAAACTGAAGGAAATTTCAGTTAAATATTTTTATATTACAGTAGCACATCTTTTTTTTTTGCCCTTTTAAAAAGTTTATTTTTTGTTAGTACATGTTGGTCATAAATAATGATCACATTCATCATGGGTAATTTGTATCTGTATATGACATGTCATAATTCTTTATTTTACAGTAGCACATCTTAAACGTATATGATTGTTGATCTGTTAAGGTACAACGAATACAAAAATAATCACAGCTGAACCCTGCTGGCCAGTTAGTCAGACACCCTTCACGGAGCTGACAGGAGATGTGAACAGCCAGCCACGGCAGGCCGGCGCTGCAGTGCTGAGGACACGTGTGGTCAGAGATCTGCAGGGCCAGCCGCGTTAACATCTTAGCACTGACGCAACAAAGCAATCATTTGATTTAAGCAGCTAAATTCAGTAGCTATAAGTAAAGCTTGTGGAAATCAGACAAATTTGTGTTGAAAACTGCCCATCTGCTGCTTCCTTGTGGGGCCTAGATCAAGTTGCAAACGCTTCCTAAACTAATGCTCCTCATATGCATAATGGGTAGGGTCATTAGCTCACAGAAGTGCAAAAGACTGAAAGACTCAGTAAGTGTGTAACAGCAAACGTTCCCTGGAACAGCAAGCAGCAACATTCAGCATACAGTAACTACCACGAGGCTACTAAAGAAGCTTATGATCCCTGTTACTGGCAATACAGAACATAAAGTAATGGTTCTCATGTCAGTGCCAATGCAGTCTTATGACCCAATGTTTAGAAAGATTTTGTTTCTCCTTTTACACTTTATTCATTAATAACTTCAACTAAAATAAAGCAAAGCACATATCCCTTCCACGTAAAACCAGCACGCGTACTTACGATGAATACACTTCCGCGAAGACACTTACCATCACAACCCCACCAACGTACTCAAAAGCGCAGTGGGCTAGGCACCCATACTGGATGGTGTAGCCAACCAGCCGAAAGGTCTTCCCCAGGACACCACGAAACATTGCTCTAAGTCGACGCTGCTGCCACGGACCTGGTGGCAGATTCCGGAGAATGTCCTGATCAGTACTGCTGGAGAACATGTATGCGACAGCTCCATGCATTACAACCACCCAGAATGTACCGAGTGCCTCATCCGATTTGGTACAGAGAGCAAGAGCTTATTTTCTTTTCTGCTAAAGATGCACGGCAAGTTACAGCGATCGACTGCTTTGCTCTACCAGACCATGTTCAGATATCACTGAGCTTATCTATAAATCAGGTAACTAGCAGACTCGGCCTTGTCTGGCCCCGTCCACATCAATTATTTCTTGTGTTAAGAAAGACACTTGAGATGTTAACTCTTTCAACGTAGTAATACTTTCTCATTTTGTCCCTTGCTATAATACATTAATTCTTGTCATGTAATGTGAAATAACAGAGAAACCACTAGGTTCACAGATTCACTGTGAACTGGTTCTTATTAATTTGTGTAAACTTTAATACATTACCCATTCTGAGGCTTAATAAAATGCAAATGAAATCTCATAAAATGGTTGAGAATCAACTTTTACATATGTCAAAGTGCTCTGCAAATTATGTTACATTCAGTTGTCAGCTAATAACTACATTGCTGATATAATAATGGACATGAGGAATATACTGTGAAACAGCACAAAGTACCAAACATTTAAAGTTACATAAATTTAAGACATTACTATCATTCATCAAAATATTGCCAATATCTGTACCTTCCTTTCAATTTTCCTCTTACAATTATATTTCAAGCATTTTCCAACTAATATCCAGGTTACTAAACGCTGTTCTCAAATTAAACTTACTATATCAATAATATGTCACAGGGGCCGGTGAGACAGCTCAGTGGCCTAAAGCGCCTGCTCAGGCAAGCTTAGGCAGGCAGGAGGGGACTGCAGTTAGACCCTTGGCACCACAGGCAGGCCAGCCCCGCCCTCAGGGCAAGCTGGGGGGGGGGTCATACTTGCTCAATACTTACCATAAGCAGGTTCGCATACAACACTGTCCTCTATAGGTAAGAAGCCTGACAAGAGGGACACACATGGCATCATGGAGCTGGTAAATGGTGGGGTCTAGGCCCTGGACACAACACTCTACAGCCTCCCACATAATCACCTGACAGGCAGAGACAGACAGTTCTCTCTCCTCCCCATGCCAACCCCATCTTCCCTAATGCTCATCCACAAGTGGAATGCGCAGTCCCACAGTCTGTTCCTCAAGTGGGCGCTGGGCGGTGAAAGCTTGTTTCTGCCAACACCCATGCCCACACTCCTGACTCCTGTGACACAGGAAGAAGACATCTATCTGGGCTTTGTGCCCACTCATGGCACAAACCCTAGTCCTCAGAAAGTACTAAGTGACAAGAGTGCCCATTAATCTCAAGAGTCTTTCAACTAACGGCTGCATGGGGTGGGACCCCAACCGCCCTGGGCTGCTGCAGCTGCTCACAGAAGCGTGCTGGAGGGCTGGAGATGAAGCCCTCGGAGGGGAACAGTTACTGGACAAAGGATGCGCCAGGCTGGCGGCATACTCCACCTCCATGGGGACAGAAGACCTAGCCCGGCGTGTGCTTCACTGGGCTGTTCCCTTCCTTCTGCCCCCAGAAGCCCTTACACATCAGAAGAGTGTTTCCCTGAGTAGCAGCCATCCTTGCGCAAGCTGAGACCCGAGGTGGGTCCTGGGACGCTCTGATGCACGCACACTCAGTCACTAGAATGGCATCAGAAGCAGGCCAGGCTTCTGGGATGGGCCCTTCACTTCTGGGATACGATGCTAACTCCGGGAGCTAGAGAAACTCAAATGGAAATGACAGACAGTGCAGAAGCAGACTACACCCCAACACCAGGAATAAAAAAACATGGCGTACGGGTCGCCAATCCAAGGGGCAGCCTAACCAAGGGCAAAGGACAAAAGAAGGGAGCTGGAGACCAACTGCAGGAAATACGCAGCTCAAGAGCCAAAGGAGTGGGCTGAAGCGGTATTCTGGAGAGACACTGGCACGCTTTCCAAATTGACAAAAGCCATTAACTCAAAATTCCAGAAATTCAGCAAAAACTGGAAAGATTTTAATGCAAAACAACAAGGAAACAAATGCAGATAGGCACAGTAGTGTCAAACTGCTAAAAGAAAAAGAAAAATGAAAGGTTAAAAATTGGTCAGAAGGAAGGGTGAGCTTATTTTCAAATACGAAAGAGGCTGGGGATATACCTTGGTGGGAAGGCAGGAGGAGTAATGAAGGAGAATATAATGAAACAGCACCTTTAAAGAGGTAAAAGTGCTAGCTGAAAAGGAACATGAGCTAAAGTAAAAATGAAAATATTTTAAGAAAATTAGTTTTGAAAACATTTTTGCCAGCACACCTATAATACAATGTATCTAAAATTATACCACAAAAAAAAAAATCAAGTGCAAGAAGGAAGAAAAAGAACAAAAGAGAATTACATATTTGGATAGATAAAAACTATAAACGGTAATAAAATGTTTTATAAACTATAAAAGGTATGCCACAATATATATCTATTGTTAACAATAGTACAAAGGTAGGAGAAAGTTAAGTGGAATTAAACTAAGATTTTGCAGAGTTCTATAACTGATAAAGTGGAATTTAATCAATAAAAAGTAAACAAGTAACAAACATGAGGGAAATATTAACAGAATACTAAAAACTATACAATTAAAAAATGTTTTATTTTTAACAGAAGGGAAAAATAAGAACAGTTGACAAAAAGAAAAGGAAACAGATTTAACTAAAAATGTATTGGTGAATCCATTAAATGTAAAAGAAATACACCAATTTAAACATTATGAAACAAGAATTAATAAATGAATAGATTAATAAACTCAGCCACATTTCATCAACATAAATTCTGTCAGGTTAAAGAAACGATAAAATTAGACAGCTCAGTGGATTGAAGCGCCTGCTTAGGCAGACACAGGATCAGGGTTTGTGCCCCAGCATGCCTCGCTGGCCCCGCCCCAGGGGCGCCCTGAGACAGTGATTGAGACTGGGCATGGTGGCGCCTCCAATAATCCCAGCACTTAGGAGGCTGAAAAACAGGAGGATCATTACAAGAGTCTGATCTGTGTAGTGGGACCCTGTACTAAATACATAAAAAAAGATAAAATTAAAGGATGCTTTATACTATTTGCTTACACCCATAAAAACATGTCAAAAAATATTATTAGAAATACAAGGAACATTTCACTAGAATAAAAAGACCTAAAATTCAAAGGTTTAAATAATCATGTAAAGTATATTTCAAATTACCTAAGAGTTAAAGTAGGAATTGAAACAACAGACAATTGAATATTTGTACATTTGCAGATTCAGCAATGTACATGGAAAGAAATCCCATCTGGTACTAGAGTGAAAATATGACAGTTGTGGGAGCCAATGAGAGGCGTGACGAGAGGAAAAGTTACAGCTTTCAGTATATAACAGAAAAAATTGATAAATGTTCATGATTTAAGCTTTTGCCTTAGTAAGGTAGAAAAAGCACAAACTAATAACCAATCAGAAATAATATATGAAAATAACAAAAGCATAAATCAGTAACAAAACCAAATAGGTAAGTGAAAATGAGTAAGGGCGAGCAAGACAGCTCAGCAGACTAAGCGCCTGCTTAGGCAAGTGCAGGGACTAGGGCTCAACTGCCAGCACCGCATGCTGCCCCAGCCCTACCCCGGGCATGCCGAGCGAGCCACTGAGTCCAGGTGTGGCGGCAAGTGCCCGTAATCCCAGCGCTGAGGAGGCTGAAAAGAAGAAGATCAATATGAATCCACGCTGTATAGTGAGACCCTGACCCAAACACCTTAAAGAAAAAAAAGAAGGAAAAGAAAAAAAAATGAATGCAGTAAATCCAAAAGCTGGTTGTTTAGCAAAATTCCTAAGACTGATGAACTTAAGCAAGTCCAATTAAGAGAGCCTGAACTGCTGGCAAGGGCTACGAAAGGGTCTTGGGAAAGGCTCCATGCACCGTGAGGGAGCAAAAGGACACTACAAAGACGTTAGCTTCTGAAGAGTGATGTTTTAAATTAGACTGACAGTTACTAATAGAAGAAATACAGTTATATATGATTTAATCTGTCATTAAAAATCTTCCCCCTCCCAACTTTTTTCCCAGGCCCTGATGGTCTTACTGATAAACTCTTCCAAACATCTAAGGAAGAATGGCCAATCATCAATTCTCAGTGAAAATAAAACAAGGGGTATTTCTCATCCTTCCGTTTGTTTTGAGACAGAGTCTCACTATGTACTTTAAACTGGCCTTGAACTCACTCTTTAGTCTAGGCTGGCCTCCAACTCCTGAAATCCTCCTGCCTCAGCCACCCAACTGCTGGGATTATAGGTATACACCACCATGCCTAGCTTCCCATCTGGTTTTATGTGGCCAGTATAACCTTAAAACTAAAATTTGACATGGGTGTAACAGTAAAGTCAAATTACAAAACAATCTCTCACTGGCAGACACAAAAGTCCTAAACAAAAACAGCAAAGTGAATCCAACAATATGTAAAAAATATATTATGTCTGAATGGAGTTTATTCTAACAATGTGAAGCATTACATTTGAAAATCAATCAGTGATGGCTGAGAAGATAGCTCGGCGGCCTACGTGCCTGCCTGCCAAGTGCAAGGATCTGGGTTCCATCCCTGGTACTGCATGCCGTGCTGGACCCAGAGCCCCAGGCGTGCCATGCCAGCCACTGAAACCAAGTGTGGTGGCACACGCTTCTAATACCAATGCGGGGCAGGATGAAACAGGAGGATCACTAGTCTGAACTGTGTAGCCAGATCCTGGATCTAAATAAATAAATAAATAAATAAATAAATAAATAAATAAGATTCATATTATAAGGAAGAAAAAATTGTAAGATCAACTCACATGATGGTAAAAAAGCATCTGAAACGATCCCCATCCCTCATGATAATCGTGGGAACAGAAAGAAGCCTTCTAATGTCCTAGAGAAAACATTTTCCTAAGTGGGAGAACAGAGGTATTCTATGTGCCAGTCACCC